TTAAGGGAACTATCTGGCCTGTGGTGTGGTGTGTACTGTTGTGTACGTTGTATAAGAAGTGCAAATGGAAATGCGGTGGCACGCATGGGTGCCCCCTTAAGGGAACTATTCGGCCTGTGGTGTTGTGTGTACTGTTGGGTATGTTATATAAGAAGTGCTAATGGAAGTGCTGTGAGACGCATGGGTGTTCTTAAGGGAACTATTCCTGTTGTGTGGTGTGTGCTGTTGGGTATAATATATAAGAAGTACTAATAGAAATGCGGTGGCACGCATGGGTGCGCCCCCTTAAGGGAACTATTCGGCCTGTGGTGTTGTGTGTACTGTTGGGTATGCTATATAAGAAGTGCTAATGGAAGTGCTGTAGGACGCATGGGTGTCCTTAAGGGAATTGTTCGGCCTGTTGTGTGGCGTGTGCCGTTGGGTATAGACACTTGTCTGACATATCAGAGAAAGTATATCATGAACTCACTGAAGACATGATCAGAGAGGCAACCATAATACAAGCTAATCGCAAGCGTGACAACAAGCGAGCCAGAAACGCAAACATCCCTGACCTGTGAGTCACTCGTCCAAGAATAGACATACTTCCAGGAGGTCCACCCAGAGGGGGGGCCAACCAAGAGGTGGTGGACAACAAGGAGGACAAGGCAGAGGTCATCTCATATAACAGGCTATTGACACCTCAGCACCACGAGGGCCTAGACCTTGCCCACACTGCGGCATAAACCCTTCACCACATGCGTTCAGCAAGTGCCCCAATAAAGGCGAAAGCAACCGTCTATAGGCAGAAGCTCGAGCAGCGCAGCAATCTCGACCCGTTCATATCGACCAGTTGGCCATTGCAAATGGCAACAATGTGCAAGAGATGGATGATGATCGATGAAAAGCTTGGTGGTCGGAGGCTAACATGATAAACATGGTAGACATTGTGAATTCACAAACGTTGCTAATAAATGCAAATGGTATTGCTTATACACCCATTCCTTTACTTCCTACTCCAAGAGATCAAGGATTGCACATAGACATACAAATCAATGGCACCACGTACAATGCACTATTAGATTCAGGAGCACAACGCTCTTGTATGGATCGCAGTGTAGTAACGGAACTATACTTGTCAGTCAAAGCACAACCTGGCTACATACAGCTAGCACAATCAGATACAAGAGTACAACGCACAGATTCTACATAAGTATATGGTATAAATTACGGCGGTAGAAAAACGTCAAACTGCTTTGAGGTACTCGACCTCCCAGACAAGAAATCACCAATTCTATATGGAATGGACATTTTACCATACTTAGGCATATACCTAGCAGGGATAATCAACCCACTAATAATAACAAATGCTGAATGGGAATCACTTCTCACACCACATGAAGAAGACCCTGAGCATGAACAAGAAGGATTCAGATAATCAATGTCGGACTTATTGGACCAAAATGATCAGATCCCTCCAGATGTACACTGCAATCTACCAGGATCAGTTGTGGAGATTCCAAGTCAGGAGGTCAATGCCAAGAACATTCGTCACGCTAAAGTGAACTTTGTTCCACACAAATATATACCACAAGCAGATGACAATGTTCAGGAATGTGTCAACGACCGCCACATATACAAACGAACAAAACCCACACAGGTGAATCTACCATTACTATCCACAGGGGAATTTGAACAGACGGGTCTGTCAAAGAAAGTACGCACATATTCAGATTTAAGAGAAGTAAATTATCAGTATGAACAAGACAAATTCGTATTACTGAAAATAAAGGAAGTACTCCACAACCTACAAGGTGCAACATTCTTTTCCAAATTGGACTTAACAGGAGGCTTCCACCACATTCGAGTACACGAAAATCGCCATCACTTCTTTACCTTTTCATGGAGAGGAGCGCAATATTCATTCGAATCAGCTCCGTTTGGACTATACTGGCTAACAGCACAATTCCAAAGAGTGATGGCCAACCTCCTCATTGACTTTAAAGGGGTACAAGTATATGTGGATGCCATAGTCATTGCCAGTATGACAGAAGAAGAATATAGACAAACAGTACGTGAAGTCATGAAACGTCTTAACACTGCCAACTTCAGGTTATATCACAACAATTGTGCGTTTGCAGTCAAGACAGTCAATATACTAGGCGTCAAAGTAACCACGAAAAGGGCTCAAAACAGACCCCGAAAAACAGAAACGTATGATTGCCTGGCCACTGCCAAGAACCAATCGTGACCTACATCGAGCAGTTGGACTAACGAACTACATGCAAGTCCACATACCTCAGTTTGTACACAGAATGAAAAACTTCCGCAATCTCATGAAAGGGAAAATGAATCAGAATATAACCAATCTTTGGACACCTGAGTTCATTAAGAAATGGGAAGAACTCAAAGATGCCATCGCATGCTTAGCAACATTGGCGTACCCAGTAGATGGATTACCGTTTCAGATCATGAACGACGCAAGTGACTATGGCATAAGAGGGTGTCTGTTCCAAATTGTAGATGGTGTCAGAAGCGATATACTCTATTTTTCAAAAGGTCTCAACCCTCTGCACAACAGATATATGGGACAAATACTAAAGACTTGCTAGCACTAGTACACAGTCTGGAACACTTTTATAAATACATCAAGGAGGCGATATTACATTGTGGACAGATTACAAAGTGTTGTAGTACGTGAACGCTTCAATAACTGTATCTCAATGTTCTCCCTCCGTGGAGAGGGAGACGTTGTTCATTTATTAGTAATTGTAAAAGTCATGACTTTAACTATGAGTCATGAGTCATGTGCTGATTCTAATAATCAGCCAAACTAAGTTTATCAGATTATTCTGATAAACTGTAATAAACTGTAATAAAACTAAAATAATCCTAAGTTAGTGTATTCCTACCACAACCCCCCCCCCCCCAAACTGAAGAACTGACCGAATAGAAGTGTGCCAGTTTTTTTAAAGATGATAAGTAACACCCACAGTAAATTAGTTGCTGGCATTTATCCCCTGAGAGCTAGAGAAGTGTGCTGGCATTTATCCTCTGGGAGCTAGAGCAGTGTGCTGGCGTTTATTAACCTCTGAGAGATAAGAGGGCTCGAAGATCACGGTTCGAGCGCACCGTTCTACTGAATAGTCATATATTAAGATAAAGATTAGATCGGGGCGCGTTGGCGTTTACTTATCCGTGTCTGCGAGGCCTTGTGGTAGGCCGCGATATCGTTGGCATCATCAAAAGCCTCCGCTGTTTCCCACA